CAGTGAGGATTGTGAGGCACTCCAAGGGGATCTGTCAAGGATGGGCGAGTGGGCGTCAACATGGCAAATGGGGTTCAATGTGGCCAAGTGCAAGGTGATGCACATTGGAGCCAAAAATCCTAACTATAAATACACGTTGATGGGGTCTGAACTGGCAGAGACTGATCAAGAGAGAGATCTTGGAGTTGTAGTAGATAACTCACTGAAAATGTCGAGACAGTGTGTGACTGCAATAAAGAAGGCCAATGCTATGCTGGGGATTATTAGGAAGGGTATTGTAAACAGATCAGCCAATATCATAATGCCGCTATATAAATCAATGGTGCGACCTCATCTGGAATACTGTGTGCAGTTCTGGTCACCACACCTTAAAAAGGATATTATAGCTTTGGAAAAAGTGCAGAAAAGGGCAACTCGAATGATAAAAGGGTTGGAACACTTTCCCTATGAGGAAAGGTTAAGGCGCTTAGGGCTCTTTAGCTTGGAGAAACGACGACTGAGGGGTGACATGATTGAGGTTTATAAGATTATGCATGGGAAAGAGCAGGTAGAGAAAGAGGTACTTTTCTCCCTTTCTCACAATACAAGAACTCGTGGGCACTCCATGAAATTGCTGAGCGGTCGGGTTAGAACGGATAAAAGAAAGTACTTCTTCACCCAAAGAGTGATTAACACTTGGAATTCACTGCCACAGGAAGTGGTGGCGGCTACAAGCATGGACGGCTTCAAAAGGGAATTAGATAAGCATATGGAGCAGAGGTCCATCAGTGGCTATTAGCCACAAGGTATAGATAGGGACTCTGGGGCAAGTGATGCTCTGTCTTCTTGGTGCTTGGGGGGGGTCAACAGTGGGAGGGCTTCTAATGTCCTGGCCCCACTGGTGGACCTCCTGATGGTACTGGTATTTCTGGCCACTGTGTGATACAGAGTGTTGGACTGGATGGGCCTTTGGCCTGATCCAGCATTGGCATCTCTTATGTTCTTATGTTCTAGTGCTGTTTTGGCTGTGAGGGAAGTGAGAGAAGTGTTTTTGAAGTGTTTTTTGAGTTTTGAGTGTATAGCTTATGACTGTAGAGCTTGTGCACATATTCGCTCATTTGTATGTGTGGGGGGAGGTTGTTCGTCCGTTTTTCAGGCTTTTTCATATTTTATGTGAGGTGTGTGCTCCAAGTTTTCCATTTTAAGTTTTAAGCTGTAGATTTATTATTCATCAAATTAGTTTTGTGCTGGTCATACTAATTAACAACACCTGGCTAGGCTATTATCTGACTCCATTATCAAATTACGACTTGGCTTCTAGTCAGTCCAGTCTGCCTCTGCCTGCTAGAGATGAATAAGTATCGTAACGCCTTGTGTGCTCACTGTAATTTAGTCCTCCTTCTCTTCTGATGGGGGTAAGGGAGCAGCTTTTAATTACCTGCTAGAGTTAACAGAGTTTCTAATACTTATAATCAACTAGTTTTATTTTAACCGGTCTCTGGATCTCCCTTTGTTTTACTAAACCTAGGGGGGGAAATCATCCCTCTGACCTTTCTAGGCTTCCAGTCAACAAACAAAGCGGGACACCTTCTTTTACTATAATGGCCCCGTTCACACTGAGAAGTTGCCACGCTGAAGACACGGATGATATTTATTTATTATTTATTATTTTTCATATTTATACCCCGCCCTCCCCATAGGCAGATTTTTCGGGCGCGATCACACCACAACATCTGGGAAGCGTAGTGCACCCATGGCTAACCCGTGGCTTGTTGCCGAAGATGTGGAGTTAAAAAGCACCACATAGGATGTACTAGTTTCCAGAAAACGCGGGGCAAGGGCGGGTGTCTGATCACGTTTCCACTGGGATCCCGTGGCATTCGGCGCCCACCCATGTCCTGTTGCAAACTGGGTGTTGTTGTTTTTTTTAAGTCTCCACAGGATGCACGCAAATGCCCACTGGTACATGCGCACACTGTGGTGAGGGGAAAAACATTCCGGTTTGCCATGGAAGTGGCGCCTAGCAATTGCCAGTGTGATCGCACTGCACCACTTCTTTGCCACGCTGCAGGATACCCATGTGATTGGCACCTAAGGGCATACCCACGGGACCTCCACAGGACATGTGATTGGGCTGCCACGCATTACTTTGCTCTGGGGCAAACAGCCACGCTCCCCCCCCCCCACATTTTCCGGCCCATGTGACCGGGGCCAATACTAAAACTATTAAGCATTTTTCACCTCTATAGGATAACTCTTTTTTCTTAGAGGCAAATGAATCACAAGTCAAGTTTTCAGCTCTGCTGCTTACTCCCACTCCTATACTGCCTAAACATAATTCCATGTTACCCTCTCCTGATCTACTCATAGAGGGAAAGGACTTGTGACCTGAGATGGATACCTTTCAGATTCCAGCCTCTCAGACCTTTCTAACTGCTGAGACCCTAGGAAAAATTTAGGCTATAATCAATGACTTGTACCAAGCCTTTTCTATCAAGTTGGGGGTCACACTTATTCTGAGGTACTGAGGGAAACACTGTTAGACTGAAACTCTTGGTGTTCTTTGTCTAATGTCATGGTTCTGGGAGGATTGGGGGAAAGGTGTGTGTGTGGGGGGAAGATGGTATCGTTTGATGTTGTCTGTCAGAAATGGAGTTGTGTATCTGGGGAAGGGTTCACACCAATGTATTCTTTTAGTAAAATACATTGTATATCAAGTTATTAAATCTTTATTTTTATGTTTTAAATTAATGAACATAGGAGAAAGAATTTTTATTAGAGATGTACTGTTTCTATTTTTTATAATATTAGGGAATGAAATGCTACTTATAGGTGTTCATTATGTTATCTTAATGAATTTTAAGGCTTTTATTGCTGTTGCTGTTTGGATAAATTTATTAATGTTATATGCTATTGAATATTTTAGGGGATTGTCTTTTGTTGTGTATGGAACTGTGCCATTGAGCAAGAGTTCCTATCAAGATTCGTTACAGTGTATTTTTTATATTATTAGACATTTTTTTCAAACTACTAAATCTTTATTAATCCATTTTATAAACATTAGATTGATTCATGGCAGGTAGTCAAATAAATATTTTGTCTTTAAATTGTAGGGGTATTAATAACTGTACAAAAGCCCTGATTCATGGCAGGTAGTCAAATAAATGTTTTGTCTTTAAATTGTAGGGGTATTAATAACTGTACAAAAGCCAAAAGAATGTTATCAGCCCTGAAATCCCAAAGAGTAGATATTGCATTCTTGCAGGAGACTCATCTTAAAAGTAATCAGCTTCCTGTTTTCAAATCTAATTGGCTCCCTACACAGTTAAGTGTGCATTTGGAACATCCAAGTCTAGAGGCATTGCGATTTTATTATCCAAAGCAGTCAGATTTCACGTAGACACCATTGAAATTGATCCTGAAGGTACGTTCATTCCTCAAGGCCCAGTTATTATTCAATTCATGTGAAGTTGTAGGTGGCATATATACTGTGAATAAAATTATAGAATGGGATCCCAATGTTAGCTTAACTACTAAAGCGAAATCTGGTGCCATAATAAATTCAGAATCATAGATGGGCAATGCTGTAAAGATTAGACACACCAGTCCTCAAGGGGGGCCTTTTGTTACAATCTGAAAGAAAGCAAAATAGCCAGGATAATATATCTCCTCCACCATCCAGGTTTCCTGGATAAATATGATATTGAAAGTGGATAAGAATGTCCTGGTGTCCTCACAGGAGACCTTGGAAGACCAGCCTGCCACATTTCAGCTTAACATTCTTGTGAAAAGAGATAGTCAAGCCAAGGGCTCGGTAATTCGGACAACACTCGAGTTACAAGAGTGAATTATGATGGTGGGTTCCAGGGGAGCAGGGTGAGTTCCCACTGACTTTCTAGACAAGGCACATATGGATAACTCTTTATGTGGGGGTATTTCACAGGAGGAATTTTTAACTGGGCAGGAATTAGTCTCCCTCATAGGGTTAGATTGGGGCTGGGTTTCCAATTTTAACAAATTATTGTTAGCATTCTTCTGGGAAATAGAGAGGAAGAAGGTTGATTGAGAAGGGGAGGGAGAGACTGATGGAGAAAAGGTACAGAGGGGGGTAGACTGACAGAGAAGGGGAATGGAAGGAGAGGGAGGAGGAACTGAGGGGAGTGATAAAGAGGAAGGGGAGATTGATGGAGAAGGGGTGGGCAAAATAGGGGGTAGGTTGTTAGATAAGAGGAAGGGGAAGAAAGAGGGGGATATTCTGAGAAGGGGAGAAACAGAGATGGGATAGGTTGACCAAAAAGGGAAGGGGGGGAAAGAGGGGGAAATTTATAAGGGGCGGGGGCAAGGAATCAAAGTTTCTTACAGGTCCCCACTTGTAACAATTGCTTGCTGGAGATACAGCAATGTAAAATACACAAAAACTTTCTGAAATAGGCCTGTCATTCCAGTTCCCCCATTCACTTACTGAATTGCCTCTCAGAACAGTGAGCCTCTCGAGAGGGGCCGTCTACAGTTGCCAACTTCAGAGCGGGCTGAAGACCCCTAGAATTACAGTTGATTTCCAGACCACAAAGTTCAGATCCCCTGGAGGAAACGGCAGCTTCGGACGGGTGAACTCTATTTCAACCATTGGGGCTGCACTCATCGTAATTTGGAACCCAGATACAAACTGGCAGAAAGGAGATAATGAGCCATCTGATGTTTGGATTTTCTGACAACCTAGGTCCCATGTAGCTACAGTTGCCAGTCCAACATTCACAACCAGCAGGCAGGGCTGTATTATCCATAAGGGTGACTAGGCTGAAGCCTAGGGACCCCGCAGGGACTAGGGGTCCATAATTTCTATTTTTTTGCTGAGGCACCATTATTTTCACTTCATAGACTGGTCTATGGACTCAACTGTGTGACTGAACAACAACAACAACAAATTGATGGACCTGTTGCACAACACTGGATTAGGGTTGCTAGTTCCTTTATTTATTTTAAAGTACACATTTTGGACAGAGAAAATTTGGAAATTTGGATATAGAAAGAACAGTATTGGCTATAAAAAAATTCTTCACACAAAAGCAAGCAACTTGAAGAGGAGAAATTATTTCTTTTCTTTCCTTAAAAGGTGAGGGTGCTGTCTTTTTGTTTCTTCCAGAATGAGTTCCCTGGATCTGAACTCAGCAGTAGCAATTGGGAACCAGACAGCATCCCAAAGGTGCAGTTCATCTCTATGGAGTACCAGAGACTGTCTTGTGAACAAGCCCACCTGTCAGGGGAGAAGAGAAAACTTATCAGGGTAAAAGATGAAGTAGGCCGATGGCATGTCACCAGAAGCATACAGTCCACTGTTGCATTTCAATTCTCATCCAATCCTCAGAGCTCGGCACTACCAGTTTAGCATCAGATGCTATCTCAAAGCAAGCCCACCTGTCAGGAGTGAAAAGAAACATCATCAGGATAAAGATGAAGTAGAAAGGAGTATCGCCAGAAGCATCCGGACCACTGACGGATCTCACTGCTCAACACCTACTCAGAGTTCGTCCGTGCTAATAGTCGAAGACCTATATCAGGGCTCTGCCACCTTTTGTAAGGAAAGAGCCAAACTGAGGCTGATTTTGCACTAGAGCTGCCTCAATGTTGCGCTGCCATTTGCCCCAATACTATTGGTCAATTTCACACCCGAAGCCTTGGGGCTGCATTTGGCCTGTGGCTTCGCTCGATTTCCTCCACAGTTTTGTGATCCTCAAAAAACAGGATCACAAAACTGCGGGGGAAATCGGGCAAAGCAGCGAGTCAAAATGCAGCCCCGCATTTTGTGAAATTGACCAATAATATCGGGGCAAACGGCGACGCAACATCGAGGCAGCTCTAGTGTGAAATCAGCCAGAGTCAAAGTTCAGATAAAGAGAGCAGGTATAAGGAAGCCCAGTGGGATAACGGAAAAGTTACAACTTAACATCATCGATAACTGAAATGTTTGTTAAGTATCCATATGGTTTTTTCCAGCTCAAACACGAGCTGTTGTGAACCCTGGACAACTGGGTGGCAGCGGGAGGGTGTGTGTGTAGCGTTGCTCATCCAAGAATCTTTTTCCTTTAGGGCACTCCCCGCACCAAAAGTCACTGGCATTGAATGTGTTGACCTGGTGTGGGAGGCTGAGGGAAATCTGGCTCTCTGGTTGGTGTACTGACCACCTAATGCACCAGCAGATACCCTGCCTGACCCGTTAGATGTGGTATCCAGGCGGGCATTGGAGCACCCCAGGCTTTTAGTCTTGGGGGACTTCAATATCCATGTTGATGATGTGGTGTCTTCTCAGGCCAAGGACCTAGTGTCATCCATGGAGGTCCTGGGAATCTCCCAGCTTGTATTGGCCCCTATGCACCAAGCAGGCCACATGCTGGACTTGATTTTGGGGAAGGGGATTAATGTGAATACGGTGACTGTTGATGCAGCCCCATGGTCAGACCACTTTGCTCTAAAGGTCTGGCTGGGCATGCCAAACCCTCCCTTTTTAGGCGACGAGTGCATTTATGCTGGCCCATGGAGCCCAATGGACCCTGATCGGCTTCAGGCTGCTTTGCGGGATCCGATGCCCCCTGGTGACTCATTAGATGTGCTGGTGGAGGACTGGTACTCCCAGCTCTCCAAAGCCATCGACGATATCATCCCCCAGTGCCCTCTCCACCCTCAGACCAAAGCTGCCCTGTGGTATACCCCAGAGCTGTGGGGGATGAAGTGAGAGCCAAGACACCTTGAGCGAATGTGGCAGCATGCTCATGATGGAGTGGCAAGAACATCTTATAGGTCATTTATGAAGGCCTATGAGACTTCACGTTCCTGGGATCCCAGATCACTGCAGACTGTGACAGCAGCCATGAAATTAAAAGACGCCTGCTCCTTGGGAGGAAAGCGATGGCGAACCTAAACAGCATGATAAAAAGTAGAGACATCACCCTGCCAACAAAAGTCCGCATGGTCAAAGCAATGGTATTCCCAGTAGTCATGTATGGCTGCGAGAGTTGGACTATAAGGAAGGCCGAGCGCCGAAGAATAGATTCTTTTGAACTATGGTGCTGGAGAAGACTCTTGAGAGTCCCTTGGATTGCACGAAGATCAAATCAGTCATTCCTAAAAGAAATCAACCCTGACTGTTCCCTGGAAGACCAGATACTGGAGCTGAAGCTCAAATACTTTGGCCACCAAATGAGAAGGAAACACTCCCTGGAGAAGACCCTGATGCTGGGAAAGATTGAAGGTCAAAGAAGACGGGGACGGCAAAGGATGAGATGGTTAGACAGTGTCATTGATGCAACGGACATGAAACTGAGCCAACTTCAGAGGATGGCGGAAGACAGGAGGGCCTGGAGTGATCTTGTCCATGGGGTCGCGAAGAGTCGGACTCCACTGTGTGACTGAACAACAACAACAAATGAGATGGCACTGAAGTCCGCAAAGAGAGAGTTCTATGCGGCCTCCACTGCACTGGCAAGGTTGCACTCGGCCCAATTATTTAGAACCATTTGGTCATTAACTTCATTGCCCCAAGGCAAACCAAATGCTATGGAATTGGAGCTAGGCTGTGAGGCATTTGTGATGTATTTTGCTGATAAAGTATTGTCACTCCACCAGGACCTCTCGACCACTATTGATACAGTAAAGGATCTGGAAGCCCCTTGTCCGTCTTCAGGTCCTATGTTGGACCATTTCTGCCAACTCTCTCAGGAGGATGTTCACAGGGTCCTAGCAGCTGTGAGGCCAACCACTTGCCTCCTTGACCCATGCCCATCCCGGTTGGTCAAGGCCTGTGGGGCTTAAGAAGGCAGTGGTTCATCCACCCTTAAAGAAACCATCTCTGGATCCAATGGTCCTGGCCAACTGCCACCCAGTTTCAAATTTGCCATTTCTGGGTAAGGTAGTTGAGAGAGCAGTGGCTGAACAGCTCCAGGTCATCTTGGATGATGCACCTATCCTTGATAGCTGGCAGTCCAGTTTCCGCCCTGGTTATGGGATGGAAGACGGTGCTGGTCGCCATTACAGATGACCTCCAGAGGCACCTGGATCAGGGCAGGTCGGCGCTGCTACTACTATTAGATCTAACTGCAACATTTGACAAAGTTAATTATGATCTTATGACCTACCGCCTCGCTGACATTGGGGTTCTCTGGACTGCCTTTCAACGGTTTTCCTCCTTTCTCTATGGTCACGGTCAGAAGGTGGTGCTTGGTAAGAGAGTCTCCATGTGTCACCCATGGGAGTGTGGTGTGCCACAGGGGGCGATCCTCTTGCCAATGTAGTTTAACATCTACGTGAATCCCTTTACCCAGTTGGTCCGGGGGGTTGGGTTGGGGTGTCACCAATATGCAGATGACACCCAACTCTATCTGTTATTGGACAGCTGCCCAGACTCTGCCCCAGAGATTCTAACCAGGCCATTGGAGGCCATGGCTCATTGGTTGCAGCAGAGCCAGTTGAAACTCAACCCAATGAAGACGGAGGTCCTGTACCTGAGCTGGGGGGGGGAGTTGGGACAGGAATCGGGCTACCCACCCTGGATGATGCTTTACTTGCACCAGCCCAGACGGTGAGGAGCCTAGGGGTGATCCTAGATGCCTCACTTTCTATGGAGGCCCAGGTTGCCACAGTTGCCAGGTCTGCCTTTTTCTATCTTCAGCAGAGCAGTTAGTTGGCCCCCTACCTTCCCCCCCATGACTTGGCCACAGTGACCCATGCAATGGTCACTTCCAGGCTTGATTACTGTAACTCACTCTATGTGGGCTTGCTCTTGAGACTGATCCAGAAACTCCAAGTAGTCCAGAATCAGGTGGCGCGCCTGCTGACGGCATCACCTGTGCGGGCATGCATTTGACCAGTATTGTGCTGCTTGTAAGGTAAAGGTAAAGGTTCCCTCGCTCGAAAGCCAGTCGAATCCAACTCTAGGGTTGCGGTGCTCATCTCCGTTTCCAAGCCGAAGAGCCAGCGCTGTCCGCAGACATTTCCGTGGTCATGTGGCCGGCATGACTAAACACCAAGGTGCACGGAACGCTGTTACCTTCCCACTGAAGTGGTACCTATTTATCTACTTGCATTTTCTTGCTTTCGAACTGCTAGGTTGGCAGGAGCTGGAACCAGAGACGGGAGCTCACTCCATCAAGCGGCACACTCGGGTCTTGAACTTCTGAACTACTGACCTTCCACAGCCCGCAGTTCAGCGTCTTAACCACTTGACCCACCACAGCTCCTGTGCTGCTTGTACTGGCTACCAATTGAGTGCCAGATCTGATTCAAGATGTTGGTATAAACCTTCAAAGCCTTGAGCAGCCTGGGACCGACATATCTGAAGGGCCGCCTCTTCCCATATGTGCCCCTGAAGAGCCTTGTGCTCACAGGATCAACATCTGCTGGTTACCCCTGGCCCGAGGGACGTCCACGTAGCCTTGACCAGGGCCAGGGCTTTTCCCGCCCTGGCTCTGGCCTGGTGGAATCAGCTCCCACTGGAGAGCAGGGCCCCATGGGACCTTTTATCATTCTGCAGGGCCTGCAGAACTGTTCCGCCAAGCCTTTGGTTGAGGCTACGGGCGTCTGTCACAGTTGGCCCCCCTGAACTCAGTCTGGTTTCCAGTCTGCTGAAAGGGCCCTCTGATTCCATCCATGGCTCTAAGAGATACGAAACTCTTGCTGCCTATATGGATTTTCATTGTTAATGTTTTAGCTGTTTTTAATGTGATTTTATTGTAACGCGTTTTGGACTCAGCTTTTGTGGTCCGCCCCGAGCCCACTTTGGGGAGGGCGGAATAAAAATCTCAAAAACTAAATAAATAATAAATAAAACTTTAGGAAGTGGCACAAACAAGGCCTCCCTATAAGTCGTTAAAGAACGAGAGCACCCTGGGCAGATTGTTTCAGTTTGCTGGAACACATCTGTCCATGGTTCATACTTGGATTCCTGGTAAGAAGAAGAGAAGAAGAGAGAAGAGATTGGATTTATACCCCACCCTTCACTTGGAGTCTCAGAGTGGCTTACAAACTCCTTTCCCTTCCCCTCCCCACAACAGACACCCTGCGAGGTGGGTGGGGCTGAGAGAACTCTGACACAAACTGCTCTTTTTCAAGGACAGCTGTGCCAGAGCTTGTGACTGACCCAAGGTCACATCAGCAGGTGCAAGTGGAGGAGTGGGGGAATCAAACCCGGTTCTCCCAGATTAGAGTCCGCACACTTAACCACTACACCAAACTGGTGTTGTTCTGCTTTCTGGAGTCCCAGATAAATGTTTGCCTGCCTTTTCCTTCGCATAAAGGTTCTTTGTCTGGCATCCTACCTACCCTCACAATTTGCTTAACTTAGAGATTCCCTATCCTCTTTTAAACAGTTGTCTTTGGTTAAGTGTGCGGACTCTAATCTGGGAGAGAACCGGGTTTGATTCCACACTTCTCCACTTGCAGCTGCTGGATGCCCTCGAGCAAGACATAGTTCTGTCAGAGCTGTTCCCCCAAGGACAGTTCTGGAAAGAGCTCTCTCAGCCCCACCTGTCTCACAGGGTGTCTGTTGTGAAGGGCAGGATATAAATCCAATCCTCTCCATCTCCATCATCTCCTCCATCATCTCCTCCTCTTCCTTCTCCCTGAGTCACACTGGTGTCTCAAGCCAGAAGTTACAGGCCATTGATGTTATCACTTCCAGACAGGCTCCAAATCATTCAAGAAAAACAGCACGATAGCCCTTGACCTGGATTGCTTAGGCAAGCCTGATCTCATCAGATCTCGGAAGCTAAGTATGGGCTGACCCTGGCAAGTACTTGGACAGAAGACCTCCAAGGAATACAAGGCCTAGGACGCAGAGGCCGGCAATAGCAAGCCACCTATGTCCAAGTCCCAGTAGGTGTCATCAAAAGTTCCGGCACATGCACACACACACAGGCACAAATAGTCACCAAAAAAGTTAAAAATAATTCTGAAAAAAGCAACATTAAACGAGGATCCATTCTAGTCATTAAGGCATATAGATGTAAAGGTAAAGGTTTCCCTTGCTCAAAAGCCAGTCGAGTCCGACTCTAGGGTTGCGGTGCTCATCTCCGTTTCAAAGCCGAAGAGCCAGCGCTGTCCAAAGACGTTTCCATGGTCATGTGGCCGGCATGACTAAACACCAAGGCGCACGGAACGCTGTTCCCTTCCCACCGAAGTGGTACCTATTTATCTACTTGCAATTTCTTGCTTCCGAACTGCTAGGTTGGCAGGAGCTGGAACTAGAGACGGGAGCTCACTCTGTCATGCGGCACCCGGGTCTCGATAGGGCTGCCAAGTCCCCCCGGGGGCGGAAATCCCCCCATCCCAGAGGCCCGTTCCCAGACACCGGGGAATCGGGCTCCGGGGGGAACCCTGCCCCAGCGTGCATGTCAAAGGGAGGTGACGTCACGATGCCGGGCACGCTGGGGGCGGGGCCAAGGCCATACAAGGCTCTATGGTTTTCCCTTGTATGGTCGTGGCCCCACCCCAGCGTGCCCGGCGTCATGACGTCACCTTCCTGTGATGTGCATGCGGCGCGCGTGCGCATGCGCACACCAGGAGCCACCCCAGAGTCCCCCCCCCGCAGGGTAAATTGGACTTGGCAACCCTAGGTCTCGAACTGCTGAACTACCGACCTTCCACAGTCTGCAGTTCAGCATCTTAACCACTTGGTATATACTCACCAGTTATAAGAAATAGAGGGAACGAGGCCCAGCCAATACCAAAGGACCATCCAAACCATGTCCTGTTCCGATAAGATGGCATCATTGCATACTCCTGTGAATATGGACATGGCAATCATGGAGCAAACACCTGGGAATACACACACATGAAAGGAGTTATCCCTTAGGAACCCCCAATCCCTGCAGAGCTCTTGTACCTGCCTCGCCATACAGAGAAGGTGATAGTCCTGTTTGGTATGTCAGAAATTTTTAGCAAAATGGATTAGGGTTGCTAGTTCCATACTGGCAACCGGCATAGGATGGGGGGAGGGGGACTTACCACGAGCAGCAGGTAGGCCCAGCCAATGTACAGCGACATGTCTACATCTCTGCTCATGTGACCCGGAGGTGATGTCATCACTTAAAGGATGTTGGGGTGCTGTTCTGGTATTTGGGGGGGGACTCTATGGTAAATTAGGTATCTAACATAGAGTTTTGCCCAAATGACAGTGTGTTGGCCCAATGTCCGGGAAGTGGTGACATCACTTCCGGGTCACATGATCAGCGACACAGACATGTTGGATAAATCTCCCTCTTTTTCAGGATGCGCTCCCCCTTGCTAGCCTGGTGGCAGGAAGGCGGAGCCTGCAGCAGGGGACCCCCACCTCCACTGGGGGGCATCTGGCGACCCTGGAATGGACCATGGAGAAGACGAGCCTTGCAAAATATCTCAGAGCTAGTTGGCCAAACCCAAATCCAGAGCTTGAGTGGGTGTCCCTGAGCAGAAGATCACAGAGGTCCAAAGCTGCCAAGCTCCCAAAGGGCCACAAACACATGGGAAACACAGCAAGATTGAGTAAACATGGAAAATCACCGTGTTCAAACAAAACACACAGTACTTCTTAGTGCAGGTGCCTGATGTTACTTTTGAACATTTTTTTTTAGATTTCAATCTGAATTCTTTCTACAAGTGTGTGGTGTCTTGATGGATAGAGCTTGGCCGCCTTCTATTGCAAATTTATTCATGGAGAATTTTGAGACTACTTTCTTCTCTATGATGTCAGTGTTAATCTTTTTCATGAGCATAACGTTGCGTTATTATCTTTACATTGATGACATCTTTTGTCTTTTTGACAGAGCTGACATAACTTTTGCTTTTGTGGATTGATGCAATTCATTGCAACCATCTATTAAGTTTAATTTTGAAAGTAAGTCCCTCCTGTATTAACTTTTTGGACACCACTGTTTTTGTTTTGAACCAAACAGTTAGGGGTTAAGCTCTATCATAGGGCCAAAGATTGTAACTCTCTCCTACATTATAAGTCCTTCCATCCGGTACATATTAAAGATAATCTCTCATTATAAAACAGTTTTGGTGTCCCTCCTGCACACGCTCCCACAGCCTTTCGCCCACTCAGCTGCCCGTCTCACGGACTCCCAATTGTTTCGCTCTCAGTCCGGAGGTAGCATTTCGCTCTCAGTCTGGAGGGAGCCGGCGAACGGGATGGACGCTCTGCTGAGAGAGCAGCAACCCCTCCACGGGGGAGAAAGAGGCAGACCTAGCGAGCAGCAGCAAGCAGGGGCAGCACTCACCTTCGCTGCCCCTCGTGGCCCCTCTCCCTTGGCAGCAAGGCCAGTGCTTTGTCAGGGCGATAGCTCAGCAGGCTGCACCACAGAGAAGGCTGCTCAGCGCCTTTCAATGGCTCCCCAACCTTCCTTCAGCAGCAGCAGCAGCCTCAGGAAAGGACCTTCCTTCAGCAGCAGCAGCAGCACCAGGAAGCGACTGGCCTGGAGGAAATTAGCTGCGGCTCCTGGAAAGCCGGACTCTTTCCTGAGGAAGACACTTTTCTTGAGGCTCCTGGAAAGCCGGACTCTTTCCTGAGAAAGACACTTTTCTTGGCTCCTGTGTGGGCCTAACTGTAACTAACTGTCCCCTCAGTGGCTCTTGGTAGGCAAACAACTGCTGTCTGTAAAAAGAAAAAAAGGACTTTCAGCATAACCCCCTCCTCCACCTACTGCCATCTCCCCCACTTTCCTGTTAGAATACATTTAAACTGGCTCTCTCTCCTTTTTGGCTCAACCATGGGTGGCTGGCTAATGAGGTGGGCCAGCGACCATCAAGCTGTTCTCTTCAACCCCCTGCTGTGTGGCTGACTTTCCCCTAGGGTTGCCAGCCTCCAGGTGGGACCTGGAGATCTCCTGCTGTTACAATTGCTTTCCAGATGACAGATCAGTTCCCCTGGAAAAAATGGCTGCTTTGTAGGGTGGATGCTATGGCATTATCCCCTGCTGAGTCCTCTCCCCCCCAATACTGCCCTCCACGGGATCCACCCCCCCAAAATCACTAGGTATTTCCCTAATCAGAGGTGGCAACTGTGCTTTCTCTTCAGTGCCTGTTGCTAGGCAACCAGGTTCTGTCAGTAAAAGGCCCTTTCCACACCTCTTTTGGCCTTTGGGAGAAAACTCATTGGGACCAGTCCTGATAGGGTTGCCAACTCGAGGTGGGAAATTCCTGGAGGGTTGAGGGATGGAGCCTGGAGAGGGTGAGGTTTGAGGAGGGGGTGGGACAACAGATAGGTACAATGCCATGGACTCCACCCTCCAAGCCAGCCATCCCTCATGGGAGACCATTTTTGCCAGTCTCCAGGGGAGGGATGGAGATCATGCTGAATTAAAACTGCTCTTCAGATGGCAGAGATCAGTTTCCCTGGATAAAATGGTGCTCTCCATCATTATACCCTGCTGAGGTCATTATACCCTGCTGAGTTTTTTGACTTGTGCATTGTAGCATTGTGAGCTTGCTGCACTCACCCAAAGCTCACAATGCTACAATAGGTAAAGGTAAAGGTTCCCTTGCTCGAAAGCCAGTCGAATCTGACTCTAAGGTTGCAGTGCTCATCTCCGTTTCAAAGCCAAAGAGCCAGCGCTGTCCGAAGACGTTTCCGTGGTCATGTGGCCGGCATGACTAAACACCAAGGCGCACGGAACGCTGTTACCTTCCCACCGAAGTGGTACCTATTTATCTACTTGCAATGTCTTGCTTTCGAACTGCTAGGTTGGCAGGAGCTGGAACTAGAGACGGGAGCTCACTCCGTCATGCGGCACACTCAGGTCTTGAACTGCTGAACTACTGACCTTCCACAGCCTGCAGTTCAGTGTCTTTACCACTTGAGCCACCGCAGCTCCGGGAATGCTACAATGCACAAGTCAAAAAACTCTGTAGAAGGCTTCTCCGGTTCTCCATAGGAATAACCCAGAAAGACCACTCTAATAAAATCCCCCCTAGATTCTATGTAAAGTGTATTGTGTTATATTGTATTTGTAATTCAGTTCCAGGAAAAATAGTTGCCTGAAAAAGAATTTCTCGAAAACACAACTTTTGCCTGGGAGGCATGTTGCATTGATGCTTGCTGCATCCCTTTTCTGCAAGGCAGCCTACAGTATTTGCATTGACGGTTGATGCATCTCTCATCTGAAGCAAGATAGTCTACAGCATTGAATCCTGTCCACATATTTGTCTCTGTAGCTGCGGACTTTTCTACAAGATATATATTGTTCTTTAGGTTATTGTTATCAATGAGCTATAATTAATAAGATATACTAGGGTCTTTATTGTATATTTAAGTATACGACTTAAACAAATATATGAAGGCATAGTAGCATATCAGAATTGTTTGTTTTGTTTGAACATGGTGTTTTCCCATGTTTACTCAGCCTTGCCGTGTTTCCCATGTGTTTGTTGTCACACCCACAGATTGCCAGAAATTTCTCAACCTGGAGCTGGCATCCCTCAGTCCACTGCTGGCCTTTTGTAGGTAGTACTCAACCGGACCGAAGGTTAGGCTCCTCTCCTGTCCAGTTCATAAGCTTCATCCTTCCTGAAGCCAACCAATGGGATGTCTCCCCATGATGGGACTCAAACCCCACAATCCTATTTCCTCTCCTAGTTTGATTCTTCACTGTTGTGTTGGACATGTTCATGCTCTTCCTTGATATTGTCGTTTCCGTTCTTTTTTTTCCTTTTTTTTTCCGAATCCCCCTAAGGGGAAATTTTTATTGGTTTTTTTGCAGACTAGAAACTATAACAGAAAATATAGGAAGGGGGACTACATCTAGGGACACAGAAAAAAGACCAACTACTAACTAAAAACCCAGGAGTAGGAGAACATTACAACAGCTTATCATAATGTTATTTTAAAAAGCTAATAATACAATGAACCTAGTAGGTTATGCTAAGTTAATTAACGTTTATCTATCCCTTTAACTATTTAAAGAAAACCCCAGAGCATCCCAAAGTTATTTCAAAATGTTTTCAGGCACAAGTCAGAGTCCTTCAGCCCTTATTTATTAATCCTCAATTGATATGGACTTTTGGGGGCTGCTGCCCCCTTTCAGAGGGTGAGTCCTCGTCTGAAGACCCCGAGCCTAACTCGCCATCAGATTTGCTTTCTTCTTCTTCCTTTTTGTCCTCCTCTGGTTCCCCAAGCTGGGTTCGCCAAAAGTCACGTGCTTTAAAAACAGAGTCAATATTTTCTTTTTTATAGTGAAGCTTGAAAATGATGCCTTCTGGAATTAACCATCTGTAACTGATGCCATTTGTTTGTAAGAAAAAGATTAATTCTTTGTAGTTCTTTCTCTTCTGTCTTATGTCAAATGGAATGTCTTTTAGAATCCTGATGTTGTTGTCCCCAATTTTCAAGGGTGTTCCTGTAGTTGCTTTCAAAATCAAGTCTCTTACATGTCTCTTCAAAAATTTGACCACTATTTCCCCAGGCAGATTATTTTATATATATATATATATGATGAATATGGCCTATAGACCACATCCATCTCGTTGTAGAGGTATTCCGCTCTCAAATCTGTCATTGGGGCTAATGCTTCACTCAGCCATTGCTTCAGATTCTCTCCTTTAATTTCCGGGAGCCCTTGGAATCGAAGGATCAAATTTGCTTTTTCCATTTGCAGCTGTAGAAGTTTGGATTCTTCCGTGGCTTGCTTCATTTCCAGCTTCTTCACCTTTTTCTTAACTTTTTTTAGTGCTGGCATCCATTTCTATCACCTTCTTTCCCATTTGCTCCTTTGCTTTTAACGATTGAGCCAGTTGCATTTGCTGTGAAGCCAAGCTCTGCCCAATTGTTGACAATTGCTGCTTAATACTTGTCATCTCATCCAGCAGAAGGTGCAAGGAATCAGCCAACAGTTTAGAAAGCTCAGGAGTCTCTTCCGTTCGAGGACTGCTCCCTAGTTTCGCTTTCAACAACTTTTCTTTCTCCGGTTTCTTCCCCACTATCTTTTTGGATTTGTTTACTTTTCCAAAAAGCTGCTAAAGTCTCTGGTACTCGCCCAAACACTTATCTGCGCTCTGGTAAGTCTCTTAAAACAGATATAGATGCTTGTTTTTCTGCTCCCCCACACACTTTTTTGTGTGTTTCATCTGCGCATTTGGGAGGATCCCCTCCCCCGATCACTTTCCCAGCACTCTTTAAGGGGGGCAGCTTTCTTTTAAATCTTCACGCTCACTTCAACCTGACTCACAGTTCGTTTTTGGCCAACCAGCCTCGCTCGTCATCAGTTATTTCGCCCGATCTCCAATGCTTCTCCCGGTCAGCAGCACTTGTACCATTCAGTCACTCAGCGGCAGGACCTTCGGGGCGGAGGAGTGCCTCAATTCTCCGGCTTCTCGACATCGAAGATATTGCCCCTCAAAAGCTCCCTCGCTATGAGCCTTTTACCAAGGCTCCAGGGGGGTTGCGACCCGTCAGACCCCCTCCCACATGCTGGTGTGCAGTTTGCATCTCCAGAGCGACCAGGAGATGCATCTGCCTGCGTGTTGCCATAAACCGGAAGTCGTCGTTTCCATTCTTTATCATTTTAAGTGGCTCCCTTCCCTTGTGAAAAGCTTCTTCTGCTCCTGTCAATCACTGTCTCCATAGTGAAGCGGGATTCTGCCCCAGGGACACTGCACAGAAGTTTCAAACCAGTATCTGCGAGGACTGGGCTTGGAGACTTGTTGGGTGACCCTGGGCCCATCAGTTCCTACCTAGTATACCTCACAGGACTTTTGTTGTGAGGAGACAAGGAGAGAACTTGCGATTAGCTACTTTGGTTCCTGAAATATACTGGGTTCGAGACGCATGAAGTGATCAGCTCATAGTTTATTAAGTAATTTCAGCAAGACTAGCAGGACTGAAGCCCTGCTTATATCCGTGTACAACACCACACTGCGCGCACACCCACTCCTCGTGATAGACTATTTACATTTTGACTCCTGGTCTACAGGTTCCTTCCAGGATCCAGGTTCCCTATTGCTCTAGGTTTCAAGCTCTGTACATAACAGTCCCCCACTGGAGAGAGAAGCAGGGAGAGCCAGTCTGGCATAGTGGTTAGGAAGAAGAAGAAGAGTTGGATTTATACCCCACCCTTCACTCAGATTACAATCTGGTTTACAATCTCCTTCCCTTTCTCTCCCCACAACAGACACCCTGTGAGGTAGGCGGGGCTGAGAGACCAGTGAAAGAGCAGGTGTGAGAGAACTGTGACTGACCCAAGGTCACCCAGCTGGCTTCATGTGGAGGTATGGAGCATCAGACCAAAGAGGCCATTGCTCTCAACCACTAAACCATTCTGACTTAAAGTGCCAGACATAGATCAGGGAGACCCAGGTTCAGACCCTCACTTGCCATGAAAGTTTGCTTATGTGTGCTGAAGGGAGGGAGTCAGCATGCCCTGAAAATCTAAAGACTACAGACTGGCCATTTGTCACAGGAGAAGTACTCTTCAGATTGTAAATTGACCTTTCTTTTGCAGTATACTTCTTGGGAGATTCATTTACTGCACTCAGGTTGAGTTCAGACGGGCAGTTTGAAGCGGTAGGGAGTCGTGGCAAAATAAGAGCCGGGACAAACTGTTCCAGGTTTTCCCATTCACACTGCAGCGACTGATGTGGGAACATACCGGGAGGAGGCGCAAGGGAGCGTTCACACTGTTCGCCCGGAGGCATGGCTGTAAGGCGCGGCTTTCTTTTTTGGTAATCTGGAGATACGCACTTATGTGCATAGGCGCTTATGCACATAGGCGCACAAGAAAAACACGGCTTTTGGCATTCACACTTTGTTGGTGCGGGATGGACACGGGATGATCGCGCTTTCCAGGGTTTGCTACCACTTTCACCAGGTATCTTTTAAACTCGGGAGCCAAGCATTACAAGATGGGTTGAGTACGGGTGGGGAACGCCGGACAGATGTGTCTGTGTGAACGGCCCCTTTAATCCGGTTGTGAAACGTTCCTCACATGCGCCTATATCAGGGCAAACTGCCCGTCTGAACTCGGCCTCAGTATTACACTTCTATGACTCTGCTACATGAACCAAATATCCCAGTCATGTGATCTTGGGTCAGTCACACAGCCTCGGCTTAACCTACCTCATAAGGTTGTTGTGATGATAACATGGAGGAGAGAATTATGTAACCTGCTTTGGGTTCCGATTGGGAAGAAAGGGGTGGTACAAATGAAGCAATCATTCAGTAGATAAGCAATGAAATACATTTTTAAAAATAATGATAAAGGTGTAGCAGACCTGTGCAAAGAATGGAACTGTGGGAATCAAAACCCTTCTAGCCAATTAAATGACATACCTGCCACGAAGCTGGCCTTCATGGCAAGATCCGTTATGGAAATGGAGCGGATGTGGGTGTGCGAAAATGAGGCACAAAGACCAACGAATGAAACAGCGCCAGCAACCATCCCCATTAACAGGAAGACTCGGGTGGCGTGGACGAATCCTGCAAAAAGAGAGAAGGAACGGAGGGTGGTGGTTAAATGTGCATTAATGAAACACAACAAGAAAGCAAACTTGATGTAAACACATTCTTGTGTGTGTTGTTTTTCCATAACATACCAGATAGTAACATACCAGATAGTACATGTACAACAGCATGGTGCAATATGTACATGAATCTAGATGTAAAAACAGTGGTAGCCAATTATCCCTCTAAGCTGTGGAGTCTTGTGAGCAAAAATTCTACTTTGTGAGCTCCTGGCATTAAAGTTTTGAGCGAGCGATTTGGCTACTGCATAAATTAGTTTGCCCTGGAGCCATCCTTCCTGAGCTGAGACAAAAATTTGTGAGCTGGAGGCTAAAAAACTGTGAGCTGGCTCACACTAACTCAGCTTAAAGGGAACACTGGAGGCAGCAATATTACTTTTTATAGTGTTTATAATCAAGGAATAATAGGGATTGGGAGGGACCATGGCTCAGTGGTAGAGCATCTGCTTGGCACGCAGAAGGTCCTAGTTTCAGTCCCTGGAATCTCCAGCTGAAAAGGGACCAGGCAGTTGGTGATGTGAAAGATCTCACCCTGAGACCCAAGAGAGTCACTGCCAGTCTGTGTAGACAACACTAACGTTGATGAACCAAGGGTCTGATTCAGTATAAGGCAGCTTCATGTGTTTTGGTGTAGTGGTTAAGTGTGCAGACTCTAATGTGGGAGATCCGGGTTTGATTCCCCACTCCTCCACCTGCACCTGGCTGGATGACCTTGGGCAAGCCATAGTTCTGGCACCTTGGGCAAGCCATAGTCCTTCAAAAAGAGCAGTTTATCTCAGAGCTTCTCTCAGCCCCACCTACCTCACAGGGTGTCTGTTGTGGGGAGGGGAAGGGAAAGGAGTTTGTAAGCCACTCTGAGACACCTTTGGGTAGTGAAGGGCGGGGTATAAATCTAATCTCCTCCTCTTCATGTGAATCACTGCAGAGGTCTACGAACATATCCTCCCCAGCAGCACCACCCCTTTAATCCCAACAACAGAATGACTGATCAATACTTTGGTGTACCATGTCTGTAGTTCTCCTGTCCCAGGACATGGAAGATCTCACTTTACCTGTTACCTTACCTAGTGTACGCATCCCAAATGATGTGCAACTGTTACCATCACACACTCGCCACAATCCTGTGTGACCGCTTCTGATTGAATCCACTGTCCAGTAGTCTGAAGCCAGGGCAGTGATGAGCAGCAAGAGGCCCACAAAGGAGAAGAAGCAGGTGGCGATCCGCAGGCCTTCCATGGTGGAGGATGATCAGGTGTGTGGTGGGACGGCACGATGGGGATGAACCTGGGGGGGGGGGAACCATGGAGGTTGTGGAATATGTATGGCAGCCCATTTAGGTATGCACACAGCAGTGACCCGGTAATGGAAGACCTCTGCAATACTCCACGTGTGCAGAGAATTTCAGAAGGCTTAGGAGACATAAGGTGATGTTATTGTCACTGTGGAAAATGAGACACAAAGACCAAAGTGCCGACAACCATCCCCACCAACAGGAAGGCTTGGGTGGCATGGATATAAGCTGCAACAAAGAAAAAAGGGGCCGGGGGCAGGGCTTAAATGTGTAGGCATGGCATTTCTGCACTTGCAAGGAATTGACATGGGCCTTCCTTGCCCCCTCCAATGCAGAAGAGGGTTGCCAACACAAGATGGGGTAATTCCTGGAGATCTGAAGAAGGTAGAGTTTTTTGGGGGGGAAGGAGTTCAGGACTTTCATTTCTCCTAGCCTGTATGGTATAACATAGCTTCAGAGGGCAGACTCTATGGTATACCGTAGAGTCCAGGGGAACTGTTCTGTGGGCTCTGGAAATCAGTTGTAATTTTGGGAGATCTCCAGGACCCACCTTGAAGCTGGTAACCCTAACACAGAGGTCAGTTTTGACTTCATACAACTTCTGTTTACCCCCTGATTTCTGCATGTGTTTTTCTGCCTTTCGCTTTCACTTCATTTTTTATTCCGCTCATGGTTTTTCTGGCTCTTCTAACCATTTTTACCCCAATCTTTTTGTCCGGAAGCTGATTTTGAGTCAGCTGCGCCCTACTGTGTAATGTCTCTATTGGGTTTTTCTTTTTTGTCCCACCCTCCTCCAGCAGACGATTCAGCTATTGAACTGTCATCGTCGTCCAACCACTCCCTCTCCTCCACAAAGAGGAGCGATGTCATTTTTAGAATGCTGTTTAAAAAATAAGGAGGTTTTTTGGGAACCGATTGCTTCTTGCTAAGATCTGTTGAGGCAGCGGGGCTTTTATACTGATCTTGTTTTTAGATAGATTTTTAGATAGATTTTAATTGTCGATTTGTTACATTGTGATATTGTGAATTTTATGACGGAACCCACCCTGAGCCCACTTCGGGGAGGGCGGGATACAAATCGAACTAACTAATTAACCAACAAACGAATTAACTAAATTTCCAACATCCACATGGAGCCTGGCGATCTCCCAGAATTAGAACCGATCTTCCGGGGACAGAGATCAGCTCCCCTGGAGAAAATGGCTGCTTTGAAGGGCGGGCTCTGTGGCATTACACCATGCTGAGGTCCCGCCCCTCCCATATGACTCCCTCCCCAGATCCCACCCCCAAAATCCCCAGGTATTTTTCAACAGTCAAGGCTTCCAACGGGCCAGCTAAAGATCCCCGTTTCCATCCTTTCTCAAGGCACACTTGGCAGTCAAACCAGTCTTGTCAAATTTGCCTGTAGAGTTCTATTCCACAACTTCAGTCCATATCAGTGTCAAGTTTCCTTGCTGAGATATTGAAAGCTACAGCTACGTTTGGACTAAATGTACAGGAGGAGAAACTGATAAGGGAATAATTAGAACTGCACTTTGGCATGAGTAGTAGTAGAAGAAAATTTTGGATTTATGCTCCGCCCTTCACTACCCAAAGGTGTCTCAGAGCGGCTTACAAACTCCTTTCCCTTCCCCTCCCCACAACAGACACCCTGTGAGGTAGGTGGGGCTGAGAGAGCTCTTGACAGAAACTGCTCTTTTTTCAAGAACAGCTCTTATCAGCGCTACGGCTTGCCCAAGGTCATCCAGCCAGGTGCAGGTGGAGGAGTGGGGAATCAAACCCGGTTCTCACAGATTAGAGTCCGCACACTTAACCACTACACCAAACTGGCTCAGAATGTTTCAGAACGTTTATCTGTTATAACCTCAGCATGTAAGTGTTTGTATGAATGTGCTTGGTAAACAGTATAACTACTATCCAAAATTACGCTGTATTTTGGTCGTTCTACCTGGAAATGGGCAACCCCAATAGGTAATTGTGTTCGATTTCTATTGGTTTTATCTCTAGCATGCTAATTTCTCTTCTGGCAAGGCTCATGCCCCTTCAAGAGCTGCAAGGTTGCCCATAAAATAGATCACCTTCCAAGGAGGGAGGGGATAATACATTTGTGACGAGAAGGGGGGGGCTTGGTTTAAATATTGCAAATTGTGAAAAGGCTGAAGAAAGGCATGAAGGGTTTTAGAGCTGTAAAACATGTTATGCCCAGCCCCAGAATGACAAGCAGAAATTCAACAGAGGGAGCTTTCTTTGCATGCCAGTATGGTGCAGTGGTGAAGTGTGCAGACTCTAATCTGGGAGAACCGGGTTTGATTCCCCACTCCTCCACTTGCAACTGCTGATGTGACCTTGGGTCAGTCACAAGCTCTGGCACAGCTGTCCTTGAAAAAGAGCAGTTTGTGTCAGAGCTCTCTCAGCCCCACCCACCTCACAGGGTGTCTGTTGTGGGGAGGGGAAGGAGTTTGTAAGCCGCTCTGAGACTCCAAGTGAAGGGCAGGGTATAAATCCAATCTCCTCCTCCTCCTCCATGCCGCAGGAGGGATGGAAAAGCCAGCACAGCACAGCCAGCAAGCTTGATTCTAGAGCAATGTTTGAGTCCAACGGCACCTTAAAGTCCAGCAAGACATCCAGGGTCTAGGCTTTCAAGAGCCAAAGCTCCCTTTGTTGGATGCAAGGAGGAATGGAGATCTCCGAGGTGCTGCCGAATTCCAATCCTGCTCTTCTACTGAAGTCCAGCATAACTCCCCACCTGAGTGCAATTATTTTTTTTATTATTATTTCTTTCAAATTCTATTAAACAGTTAAGAATACTATTGCAAGAATAAAATAAGATAGATCGTGTATTAAAAAATTAACATAGAAAACAGTTCTAAACGAATACTGGAGTCGACAAGTCCATCCGTAGCGAATACCTTAAAATACATGCAATAGAGCTACATTCACCACTAAGGATTAAAAGTATTGACCACAGTGGATATAATTTAACAGTAAAAAGCCACAGAGAGAAATAAAGCCACATGAACTGAGCCCATCTATTGTAGGGGATCTACTAGAGAGGGTAGATACGGGGAAAGGTCGGCATGTGAAAAATAGGTCATTACCGGAAACCAGGCTGAGACAAAAGGGGTGATATAGGAATCATCATCTAGTTTTGAATATTTATCAGAGGTTTTGTCCAGGATGCAATACTATTTGACATTTTCTAGCCATTCTGGGATAGTTGGTGGCATTGCGGTTTTTCCAAATTGAGTGCAATTCTAAACAGAGGAAAAAAACAGAGCTCTCACTCTCCTTGGCCCATTGGCTTCAAGGACTGACTTCTAAGCCACCCTATTTGAATGGACTTGGAATAGGGATGCCAGCCTCCAGGTGGAACCTGGGGATCCCCTGGAATTACACCTCATCTCCAGACTACAGAGATCAGTTCCCCTGGAGAAAAAAATGGATGCTTTTGAGGGTGGACTCTATGGCATTGAACCACACTGAGGTCCCTGTTCTCCCCAAGGCACCATCCCTAAATCTCCAGGAGTTTCCCAACTTGGACCTAGTAACCCTACCCCCCTATCCCTGCTGGTGGCCAGAGGGGACCTGGCAACTCTAACCTAAAAGGATGGAACTCTGTTTAGGATTGTGCTGGAAGGGTTCAGAAGCCCTTCCAGAAGAAACGTTGGCAACTCCGTTTTCTGCCCCTGCGTAGCTGAATTCCTCAGGCACAAGACAGAGATCAGTTGCAGGAGCTGCTACTCAGAGCAGGTGGTGGAAGAATCTCCCCTTTGTGTTGCGGACTCAGGGGGGGGGGTTATTCCTCAAAAGCACACACTTGCTCAATAGACTCTTGCAAGAATCCATGAAGTGGGCCTGAGTACTTGGGACCTCTGACAAAGACTTTCTTTAAAGGCTTCCCTTTTGCCCTCTGCGGACAGCACGATAAAATTATTGCAAGTTAACTACAAAAGCTCTTTTACTTTGCAGTTGAGTGTGCCTTTTAGCCTGTCTGTGAATCTGGCTTCCTCCTTCCTCCAGATCAAATATGAAATAGTGCCTCCGTTTAATTAGTGCCCTTCTTTCCTACCAAACTTTCCAAGTGCATGAAAGGGCCAGATCCCCCCCTGTTATTTTTCTGAAATAATTATTAGGAATATTAACACCAGATACAGCAGCTGCTGACACATCGCAAAGGCTGTGCAGAAGTTTGATATCAAGAGAGATTGGCTTACCAGTTGTAACCAAAGGCTGCTTGAAGAGACTGGGAGATCCGTGGCCACCAGTTGTTCGATGGCTCTCAGAATCTCTCTCTCCTCTTTTTTCTATTACTTGAGAAGAGGCTGAAGTTTCACAGGAAACGAAAGAGAAGATGTGTTTGTTTTTCAGAGCAGGTACCTTGCTGGGGTACACTCTGCCACAGTGGTGTGGTTTCCTGTATGTAGCGTGAGTTCTTGTCCGCCACTACTGACAACGTTGAAACAGACTTTCAGCAGTAGTAAGAAAACCATGTAAAAAAATCCCACTTCCTCCAACAAAACACCTTGGCTGGCTAGCAGCTAGGGTTGGTAGGGTTGCCAACTCCAGGTGGCAAAATCCCTGGAGATTTGGGGGAGTGGAACTTGAGGAGGGCAAGGTTGAAGACCAGAAGGTTTCCTGCCAAAGCAGGCAACTTGGTCTCCCTTTGCTAAGGAATATGGCAGATGGAGATGCTACACAATCTGTGGGGTTGGAGAAACAGAGGAAACAAATGGAAACAGAACAGAGTGCAGAGAGGCACATCATGAAGAGAACACACACTGTAGGATGCAGGGAGGAAAAAAGGGGAACGGCCGACAGTGAGAAGGTATCTCTGGAACCTTCTCCTCAACTCATATCGCTTCCACTGGTGGGAACACCACTAGATGAGAATGTCTAGTGAGAGAGCAGAGGGGAGTCCATATATCAGGTACTAACCATTTAAAGCTCCCTGATCCAAAACAGCATTGTGGACCACTTTTAATCAGGGGTGTGCATTCGGGTGTATCCAATCAGGAAAAAAAAAATCCCCCCAAAGTACATTACCGGTAATTCTCATGTATTTTTAAAGCCAAATACAAGTTAGAGAATATTCAGGGTGGTGGTGGAAATATTTGGGAATTCCAAGCAACAATTAAAGGGCTGAAAAGTTGCCCTGTGCCCCTTTTCTTCCTTTTGCCCTGGTTTCCAGGGCAACAGGGGGGCAGGATGAGGCATCTTTCAAAAGCCAATGAAATACCACCTTAGGGGGAGCTGTAGAACCCAATCACAGCAGTTGTTTCGCAGGGTAGTTTGACTTCAAATTTAGAGTCCAACAACCGTTAAAAATACATTACTGGTAATTCTCAGTTATTTTTAAAGCCAAATACAAGTTAGAGAATATTTAGGGTGGTGGTGGAAATATTTGGGAATTCCAAGCAACAATTGTTAAAGGGCTGAAAAGTTGCCCTGTGGGCCTTTTTCTTCCTTTTGTCCTGGTTTCCAGGGCAACAGGGGGGCAGGATGAGGCATCTCTCAAAAGCCAATGGAATAGCACCTTAAGGGGAGCTGTAGAGCCCAATCACAGCAGTTGTTTCGCAGGGTAGTTTGACTTCAAATTTAGAGTCCAACAACCGTTAAAAATATATACAAATATTTTAAAAATCATCAAAAGTAAAATATAAAACAACAAAAAGTCCATATTGAAGCATCTGTCATTACAATTGCATCAAGAAAGAAGAAAAGAAAAAAAGAAAGGATATTTTAAACATATTCCAATTATCCATAGACTCTCTCTCTCTCTCTCTCTCTCTCTCTCACTCTCTCTCTCATATCTATCCATCTATCCATCTATCCATCTATCCGTCTCTCCGTCTGTCTATCCATCTATCTATTTATCTATCTATCTATCTATCTATCTATCTATCTATCTATCTATCTATCTATCTATCTATCTATCTATCATCTGTCTGTCTGTCTGTCTGTCTGTCTGTCTGTCTGTCTGTCTGTCTGTCTGTCTGTCTGTCTGTCTTTCTGTATCTGTCTATCTGCCTATCTGTCTGTCTGTCTGTCTGTCTATCATCTCTCTATTTTCCACAGTTGTGGTAAGTTAATGTTTATCCTTTACTTAAATATTACCATAAGTCATGAGCTGCTCAACATAATGCCCAATAAGCATGTTAATAATTAAAATAGAATAAAGTCATACAACATGCAATAATAAGATAACATAATTGTTATATAGTGGCTATTAAATATGCCCCCTCTTTTCACACTTTCACATTTGTTCAGACTTCACTTCAAACATTTCAGTATAATGATAAGTCATGTATAACATTTCAGTCACTTCTATCTTTTCTCCCCAGTAATTAAATATAATATGAATAGTAAGTTTTCTGTTTCTCCTGGAATTCTTTTGTGTTTCTTTTCTGTTTCTCCTGGAATTCTTCCAATCATATCTGAAGAAGTGCACATGTGCGCGAAAGCTTATACCTTGAATAAAACTTTGATCTTAAAGGTAGTACTGGAATTTTATTCTGACAGCCTTCCTGCAATTGTTGCAAGGGATAAATAAGTAACTTTCAACGCTTTCCAAAAGGCACTGCCGTTACCTTGCCATTCGACATGCCTTTGAGCCTTTCTGCAAATCTTGGTGCTTCCTGCCCCTGACTCAAATATGAAACAGCGCCTGCCTTTAATTGTGGCCCTTCTTGACTACCAAACTTTCCAAGCACATAAAAAAGTCCGACTCTCCCTGATGTGGCTATTGTGAAATAATTATTTTAAGTATCAATGCCAGATGCAGCAACTGCTGCCACACCACAAAGCCTGTGCAGATGTTTGATATCAAGAGAGATTGGCTTACCCGTTGTAACCAAAGGATGCTTTGAGGAGCCGGAGAATGAGCGGCCACCGTTTGGTTGGGCAGCTGTTTCCCCCTTGGCTCTCGAGAACTCTCACTTGCCTTTTCACTCTTCCTTGATAAGAGACTGAAGTCTCACTCAAATTTAAAGAGAAAATGAGTCTGTTCTTCAACGAGTTACACTCAAGCCACTGGGGTGCTGCACTGTGGTATGGCTTCCAGTAAGTAGCATTTATCAGCCACTACACCTGTCTTCTGGGGCTGCCTGGTAGAAATATTGTTTCCTTCCTGATCACCCTAAGCACAAATCATGCGGCAACTCGGGTCTTGAACCACCCCACAAGTGGTTAAGACGCTGAACTGCAGGCGGTGGAAGGTCCGGTAGTTCAGCAGTTCGAGACCCGAGTGTGCCGCATGACGGAGTGAGCTCCTGCCTCTGGTTCCAACTCCCGCCAACCTAGCAGTTCGAAAGCAAGAAATTGCAAGTAGAGAAATAGGTACCACTTCAGTGGGAAGGTAACAGCGTTCCGTGCGCCTTGGTGTTTAGTCATGCCGGCCACATGACCACGGAAATGACTTCAGACAGAGCTGGCTCTTCGGCTTTGAAACGGAGATGACCACCGCAACCCTAGAGTCGGATTTGACTGGCTTTCGAGCAAGGGAAACCTTTACTTTAAGTGATCCAAAGGGCTGTTCACAAGACATTCCCCTCTCACCCCAAAGATCAATAACAGTGGATTTATTGGGGAAACAATACTTTGTTTTGGTTATGCATAGAAGTGGCTGCTTTCTTTTAATGAAATCCCCCTCTCCTCACCTGGCCCTCTCTTTCATGTGTCTAACCCAATAAAGCAATGTTTCACATTTGGTATAATCTCCCAAGGGGTCATCGGGAGATACCGATACATTTACAACACTCCCGTTGATAGCTATCTCTTGGGAAAGACTGATCCCTTGAGAAAGCCACAAAACACCTCACACCATTGTTTTTTTCATCTGGCAAACTCACCAAGATTTTGATCTGGGCAACATATGTCACTGTGCTTCAAAGCACAGTTTCCCAATATCAAGGGGACCCAAACCCCAGTGTGTGTGTGTCTGTGTGTGACTGACATCCACCGAGCACTGGTCGCTCTTCCCTTCCATGGACTGAAGCTTCTAGATAGGTAAATACAGCCTACCCTCATCTCTATTCCCTGCTACAAACTTTGTTTCTTGGGTAGACCTTGTATGTTTCATTTACTCTGTATTCCGTATGTGTGTTTTGCCTTCTTTCAATAAAGCTCTGTTAGTTAAATGTCAGCCTGGTTCATTTGAGAGTTCTTGGGGAAGGACCCCCGTATACACAGGTGAAAAGATCTCAGGTTACCCCCCTCTTGCTAAAAGCTAAATTCTCCAATCAATCAATTAGTTAATTAGACCAGTCTGGGTAACACAACTGGGGTCCATGCAAGGGCAAAAAAGCTAATGCGATCTTGGGGGGTATCAACAGAGGCATGACATCCAAATCGCAAGATGTCCTAGTCCTGCTGTATACCGAATTGGTCAGGCTGCACCTGGTGTATTGCATGCAGTTCTGGAGGCCTCACTTCAAAAAGGATGTGGACAGAATGAGGATGAAGTTGGTTCCTTATTCTCAGTTCCTTATTCATTCCTTATTCGTGTCTTATTCATGAATTCACCCAAAAACACTCAGGAGAGTTTGTCGTGTCTTATTCATGAATTCACCCAAAAACACTCAGGAGAGTTTGAAAGCTCTTAACCCCAAAATAAGATTTGAAACCCCCAAACATCATACACCCCATGTTCAGCAGACTCCCCCCTTCTAGGGGACATATGCTGTGTCCTGGTCCAAAGTGCAGTTCTTGTGCCAGCTGCTCCAAACCGCGGTGCCCCCAGGACAATCACACAGGCAGACACTGGGGCCTGGCTGCACCCCAAAACAATCTTTGGACCACCCCAAATGACATATCACCATGCTCTGGAGATTATACCCTGCAAGATGACATGCAGTGGTGTCCAGTCCAAATACAAGTTCCGGAGCCACAGGCTTCTATTTTGGTTGTCCCCAAGAAGCGTGTACTTCAAAAAAGATTTGAATAAGGAACTGGTATGACTGTTTGCCCAATGCGTCCCAGAATACGGTTTGAACCACCACATGTCATACACCTCCATGTTCAGTAGACTCTCCCCTTCACGGAGACATATGCCGCGTCCTGGTCCAAAGTGTGGCTCTTGTGCCAGCTGCTCCAAAGTGTGGTGCTCCCAGGGCAGTCACACAGGCAGACACTGGGGCCAGGCTGTACCCCAAAACAATCTTTGGACCATCCCAACTGAAATGTCCCCACACTCTGGAGACTGTCCCCTGCAAGAAGACATACAGTGGTGCCCAGTCAAAACGCTGGTTTTGGCACCATGAGCTTCTATTTGAACTGCGCTGCAATAAATTCATTCATTCATCCATTCAGAGGCCTGTATGTCAAAGAAAAATTGAATAAGAAAGTGCCCTCTGCACCCAAAATAAAGTTTGGAGCCACACACTACATACACCCCCTTCTTTGAGGGGACATATGCCATTTCCTGCTCCAGAGTACGGTTCTTGTGCCAGCTGCTCCAAAGTGTGGTGCCCCCAGGGCAGGCACACAGTGGGGCCCAAAACAATCTTTGAACCACCCCAACTGAAACATCACCACACTTTGGAGATTGTCCCCTTCAAGAAGACATACAGTGGTGCCCGGTCCAAACACTGGTTCTGGTGCCACGAGTGTCTATTCAGAGTCCCTCCCAGAGGCCTGTATGTCAAAGAAGATTTGCATAAGGAAGTGCCCTCTGCACTCAATCAGAAACCCAGAAGTGATTTCATCTATATACTAATAGTGAAGTCATCCCCCTGTGTGCGGATATCTAAATCCGCGCATCAATCCGCGCATCGGGGGCAGGGGGGGAGGGAGATTTTTGTGCACACTTGGGGCAGTCCCCAGGTGTGCACAAAAATCTGAAAAGTTGGGGAAAATATCGGGGGGGTACTTAAATCCCCCCAAAAGTAAAAGAGCATCCACTGCGCCTGCGAGGAACGCTCTTGAAACGGCTTTGGCAGCGGCAACAGGAGGGGAGGGGGAAAGGCTTCGCCAACCAGCGAGGCCTCGCTGCCACGACCGCTGCCGGCCGGGGAGGAAGGTAAAAGTTGGGCGGGCCTACAAGGCCTCGCGGGGGGAGGCGGGGGGAGGGAAGGAGACATTTTGGTGGGCCGGGAAGGGGGAAAGCTTAGGGGAGGAGAAAGTTTGCAGGCTGCCAAGGCCTCGCCGCGGGGGGGGGAGCAAGGAGGGAGGGAGAAACTGAGAAATTTTGGCGGCCCGGTGAGGCCTTGCCGCCGAGGGGGGAAGGAGGAAAGTTTCGCCGCCACTGGAGGAGGGAAGTTTGGCAGACCAGCGAGGCGCCGCCACCGCTGGGGGGAGAAACTTGGCGGGCTGAGGTCAGGCCTCGCCATGGGTTCCAGGAATGGGGGGGAACAGGGATGGGGGGGAACAGGTGCTTCTCCCGTGGAGTTCCCCCCCCACCTCTTGTTTCTCCTAAAATGTGGCTTAGCCACAGACTTTTGGAGGCGCTAACATGATGAGATCACTTCCAACTTTGCAGAGGAAGTGATGTCACAGTGTGGGAATGCTGCCTATTTCCTCCATTGCTCTGTGGAGGAGCGGCAGAAAACCAGGGGTGCCCTCCCAATGGCATACGTGTAGCTACACTGTCCCATTGGGATTCATCCCCAGTGATGGTCCTTTTAGGCCAGCATTCTGTTTCCCACAGCGACCAGTTTGCTGCCCTAGAGGGCCATAGAGGCCAAGGCCTCTTTCTGGTGTTACCTTCTAGCACTGGTATTCAGAGGTTTCCTGCCTCTGAAAATGGAGAATTCCTTCAGTCAAAATAGCTAGTACCCATTGACAGACCTGTTGCACAACACTGTTGTAAAATAATTCGGTATTCATTTATTTATTTTCAAGTATTTATTTATTTATTTGTACACATTTTGGACAGAAAAGTACACATTTTGGACACAAAAATTTGGAAATTTGGACATGGAAAGAGCAGCATTGGCTATAAAAAATTCTTCACACAAAAGCAAACAACTTGAAGAGGAGAAATTATTTATTTTCTTTCCATAAAAAGTGAGGGTGCTGCCTTTCTCCTTTCCTCCAGAATGAGTTCCCTGGATCTGAGCTCTGTACTAGCAGTTGAGAACCAGACAGCATCCCAAAGTTGCAGTTCATCTCTATGGAGTACTAGAGATTGCCTTGTAAGCAAGCCCACCTATCAGGGGAAAAGAGAAAAAAAATTTCAGGGTAAAAGATGAAGCAGGCCAACGGCACATTACCAGAAGCATCCAGTCCACTGTTGCATTTCTCTTCTCATCCAATCCTCAGAGCTCAGCCCTACCAATTTAGCACCAGATGCTATCTCAAAGCAAACCCACCTGCCCAATGCTCCCTCTAAGCTGTGGTGTCTTGTGAGCAAAAATTCTACTTTGTGAGCTACTGACATTAAAGTTGGGAGCAAGGGATTTGGCGACTGCATAAATTAGTTTGCATTGGAGCCATTCTTCCAATGGGAGGGAGTATCGCCAGAAGCATCCAGACCACTGAAGGATCTCACTGCTCAACCAATCCTCAGAGTCCTTTTGTGGTGATGGCCCAAGACCTATGTCAGGGCTCTGCCACCTTTTGTAATGAAAGAGCCAAACTGGGTCAAAATTCGGATAAAGAAAGCTGATATAAGGAAGCCCAGTGGCAAAACTGAAAAGCTACAACTTGACATCACCAATAAGTGAAACATTCGTAAAGTATCCGTACAGTTTTTTCCAGAGCAAACAAAGGCTGTCCTCAGTCCTTTATTAGGAAGTGGCACACACAAGGCCTCCCTATAAGCACAGGAGAACGCTGGGCACATTGTTTCAGTTTGCTGGTATAAATGTGCCCATGGTTCATACTTGGATTACTAGTAACTGTTGACCTCTGTTGTTTCGCTTTCTGAAAAGCATCTCTGGGAAGCTCTTGAGTCCCAGATAAATCTTTGCCTGCCTTTTCTGGCATCTTACCTATCCTTGCAATATTGCGTAAAGATTTCCCATCACTTTTGTTGTCTTTGGTTCCTTACTTAGCTGCATTGGCGTCTTGAGCCAGAAGTTGATGTTATCATGTCCAGACAGGCTCTGAATCATTCAAGAAAAATAACATGATAGCCCTGACCTGGGTAGCCCAGGCAAGTCCGATCTCATCAGATCTAGGGTTGCCAACCCCCCCCCGGTTTGCCAGGGGTCCCCCATTTTTTGGGGGGTTCTACCCACCGCCGGCCAGATGGCCGGCGGGGGAAGCCCCACCCCCAACACCCACAGCCACCCATCTCTCTCCCTTTAACTGTGTGCAACCTGTGTTTCATCCCAAGCACGAACTCCGCAAGCTTGCAGGGAAAAGCCAGCTTCATTCTTAAAAGGGAAACGCAGCTTCTCTTAAAGGGGAAACGCCGGCTGCCGGCTACTTTAACTGCAGGGAACTGCCGTTTCTGGAGATCTGGCGCACGGGCTGAGGGGGGGGCAGCAGGCATCCCCAACGTGACGTCATCATGTTGGGGATGCCCCACCCCCTCCAGGAATGGAATGCCCCCAAAGTCCCTCGCTGGGGGTGGAAGATGGACTTGGCAACCCTAATCAGATCTCAGAAGCTAAGTAGGGCCGACCCTGGCAAGTACTCAGATGGGAGACTTCCAAGGAACACCAGGGCTGGGATGCAGAGACAGACAACACAAGCCACCTCTCTGAAATATCCAAGCCCCAGTAGGGGTCGCCAGAAATCAACCATGACTTCTAGGCAGATGCACGCGCACGCACACGCACACAAACACACATACAAAATAATTCTGAAAAAAGCAAAATTACATGATGATCAGTTTTAATTGTTAAGGTATATACTCACCGGTAATAAGAAACAGAGGGAACGAGGCCCAGCCAACACCAAAGGACCATCCAAACCCTGTCCCGGCAAATAACATTATATCATTGTACACTCCTGTGAATGTGGACATGGCAATCAGGGAGCAAACACCTGGGAACACAAAGGAAAAAAAGGAGGTATGTCTTAGGAACCCCCAAAGCCCTGCAGAGCTCTTGTACCTGCCTCACCATATAGAGAAGCTGAAAGTTCTGTTTGGAATGTCAGAGATTTTTAGCAAAATGGATTAGGATTGCCAACTCCATCCTGGCAGCCAGTGGAGGATGTGGGGGACTTACCGAGAGCAGCAGGTAAGCACAGCCAATGTACAGCGATAAGCCTACATCACTGCCCACATGACCCAGAAATTACATCCTCATTTCTGGGACATCAAGGTGACATTCTGGTATTTAGGCAAAAACTCTATGGTAAATTTGGCCTCTACCATAGAGATTTACCCAAATACCAGAGGGTTGCCAAAACATCCTAGAAGTGATAATACAACTTTACACATGGACATCACCAGATGGGCAACACCAAAATCAGATTGATTATATAATTTGCAGTCAATGATGGAGACGCAGTCAGTAAAAACAAGACCTGGAGCTGACTGGCTCAGATCATAAGCTACTCATTGCAAAACTCAGGCTTAAACTGAAGAAAGTTGGGGAAACCACTAGGTCATTCAGGTATGACCTAGATCACATCCCTTATGAATATACAGTGGAGATGAAGAAGAGGTTTAAGGGACTTCATTTGATAGAGTGCCTAAAGAACTATGGACGGAGGTTCATGACATTGTACAGGAGGCAGCAATCACCATTATCCCAAAGAAAAAGAAATGCAAGAAAGCAAAGTGGCTGTCTGATGAGGCTTTACAAATAGCAGAGGAAAGAAGGAAAGTGAAAGGCAAAGGTGAAAAGGAAAGATTTACCCAACTGAATGCAGATTTCCAGAGAACAGCAAGGAGAGATAAGGAGGTCTTACTGAATGAACAATGCAAAGTAATAGAGGAAAATAATAGAATGGGAAGGACCAGAGATCACTTCAAGAAAACTGGAAAAATCAAGGGAATATTTTGTGCAAAGCTGACCATGATAAAGGACAAAAACGGTAGGGACCTAACAGAAGCAGAAGAGATTAGGAAGAGATGGCAAGAATACACAGAAGAACTACACAACAAGGATCTCATGCTGGTTATGACCTTTAAAGCCCTTTATGGTCTGGGGCCTGCCTACCTGCGGGACCGCCTTTCCCCGTATGTTCCTCCGAGAGCACTGAGATCTGAGTCACAGGATCGATTAGTCCCCCCTGGCCCTAGGGACGCCAAACTAACATCGACTAGAACTAGGGCATTCTCTTTGGCAGCACCAACATTATGGAATCAGCTCCCTCAGGAGATCCGCGCTCTCCAGGATCTCCGCCAGTTCCGGAGAGCGGTGAAGACGGAGTTATTCCGCCAAGCATTCAACAACTTAGATTGAGTATGTCAGCATCTATAGTCGCCATCTTTATTATAATGTGTATGTTATAATGTGGGTAAATTGTGATTTTAATGTATTGTATATTGTTTTAGAGGCATTGTTTTATTGTTTTTATTGTTGTAAGCCGCCCTGAGCCGCTTCGGCAGGAGGGTGGGATAAAAATCAAATCAAATCAAATCAAATAAATAAATAAATAAATAAATAAAACAACAGTGTAAAAATCAATATCAAATACACAATAAAATTATGAAAACTATTAACATAACGGTGGCGTTATGGCTGTGGTAAAGAGCACATACAACGTTACATCCACTGTTGGTGAACTCAGGCTGGAAAAATTGGCACAGGGCAAAGATGATGTAATGCAGCTCCTTACCTAAATGCCTGATGGAAGAGCTCCATTTTCACGGGCCTGCAGAACTGTGAAAGGTCCCGCAGGGCCCTGATCTTGTCCAGAAGCTCATTCCAGTAAGCTGGAGCTGCCACAGAAAAAGCCCTGGACCTGGTTGATACCAGCCTGGCATCCTTGGGACCCGGGTGTCCCAAATGATTTTGCGACCCAGACCGCAGTGCTCTCTGGGGAACAAGTGGGGAAAGGCAGTCCCTCAGGTAAGCAGGTCCCTGACTATAAAGTGCTTTAAAGGTCAAGACCAGCACCTTGAAGTGAATCCAGTATGCAATTGGCAACCAGTGCAATGCCTTCAGCACATGTTGGATGTGGTCTTGCATGGAGAGACCCATCAACAGCCTGGCTGCTGCATTTTGCACCAGCTGCAGCTTCCAGAGATGTACGAAGTGCAGCCCCATGTAGAGAGCATTGCAGTAGTCACTGTTGCCATTGCGTGTTGTAGTGCTGCACTCAATATGGCAGGAAATTTGGAAAATGCAACAGTGGCCACAGGATTAGGAAAGGTCAGTTTACATTCCAATCCCAAAGAAGGGCAATGCCAAGGAATGTTCAAGCTATCACACAATTGCACTCATTTCACATGCTAGCAAGGTCATGCTCAAGAACCTACAAGCCAGGTTTCAGCAGTATGTGGATAGAGAACTGCCAGAAGTACCAGTTGGGTTTCGAAGAGGTAAAGGAACTAGAGATCAAATTGCCAGCAAGGGAGAGGGAAAGCAAGGGAGTACCAGAAAAAACATCTACTTCTGTTTCATTGACTACTCTAAAGCCCTTGATTCCGTGGATCACAACAAACTGTGGCAAGTCCTTAAAGAGATGGGAGTACCAGACCACCTCACATGTCTCCTGAGAAACGTGTATAAGGGTCAAGAAGTGACAGTTAGAACTAGATCTGGAACAACTGATTAGTTTAGAATAGCAAAAGGAGTACAACAAGGATGTATATTGTCACCCTGCTTATTTAATTTACATGCAGAGTACGTCATGTGAAATGCCAGCTGGATGAATCACAAGCTGGAATTAAGTTTGCCAGGAAAAAAACATCAACAGCCTCAGATATGCAGAATGGCTGAAAGTGAAGAGGACTTAAAGAGCCTCACGCCAAAGGTGAAAGAGGAGAATGCAAAAGTTGGCTTGAAACTCAACATCAAAAAAACCTAAATCATGGCATCTGGCCCCATCACTCATTGGCAAATAGAAGGGGAAGTCATGGAAGCAGTGACAGAATTAACGTTCCTGTGATCACTGCAGACGGTGACTATAACCATGAAGTTAAAAGATGCCTGCTCCTTGGGAGGAAAGCTATGACAAACCTAGATAGCATAATAAAAAGCAGAGACATCACCCTGCCCACAAAAGTCCGTATAGTCAAGGTGATGATATTCCCAGTAGTAATGTATGGCTGTGAGATTTGGACCATAAGGAAGGCTGAGCGCCAAAGAATAGGTGCTTTTGAATTATGGTGCTAGAGAAGACTCTTGAGAGTCCCTCGGACTGCAAGGAGATCAAATCAGTCAATCCTAAAGGAAATCAACCCTGACTGTTCCCTGGAAGGCCAGATCCTGACGCTAAAGCTCAAATACTTTGGCCACCAAATGAGAAGGGCGCACTCGCTGGAGAAGACCCTGATGCTGGGAAAGATTGAAGATAAAAAAGAAGGAGACGGCAAAGGATGAGATGGCTGGACAGTGTTGTCAATGCAACGAACATGAAGTTGAGTGGACTCCAGAAGACGGCAGAAGACAGGAGGTCCTGGGGTGATGTGGTCCATGGGGTTGCAGGGAGTCAACTGTACAACTGAACAACAACAAAACTTCTGGGTCACCTGGGCAGTGACATAGACACGTTGCTGCATGTTGGATGATTCTCCCTCTTTCTCAGAATGAGTCCCCCCTTGCCGGCCAGCTAATCAGTGGAAGGGAGGTGGAGCCTGGCTGCAGGGGACCCCTCCTCCACCAGGGGAGGGGTCTGGCAACCCTAGAATAGCCCCACAGCAACTATGGAGAAGAGTTGCAAAATGTCTCAGGGCTAGTTGGCCAAACCCAAATCCAGGGCTTGAGTGGGTGTCCCTGAGCAGAAGATTCCTGAGGACCAGGGTTGCCAAACTCCCAAAGGGAATGAAGACTGATCTTCAGACTACAGAGATAATTTCCCCTGGAGAAAATGCTAGGTTTAAGGGGGAGGGGGACTCTATGGCATCACACCTCACTGAAGTCCCTCCCTTCTGCAAACCCTGCCCTCCCCAGGCCACACCCACAGATCACCAGAAATCTCAAGTTGGAGTTGGCAACCTTTAGTCCACTGCTGGCATTTTGTAGGTACTGCTCAGTAGGACCAAAGGTCAGGCTCCTCTCCTGTCCACTTGATAACCTTCATGCTTCCTGAAGCCAACCAATGGGACGTCTCCCCATTCTGGGACTCAATCCCCACACTCCCATTCCCCCTCCTAGTTTTGATTCTTCACTGCTGTATTAGACGTGCTCATGCTCTTCCTTGCTATTGTCATTTCCATTCTTTCTTCTTCAAGTGGCTCCCTTCCCTTGTGAAAAGCTTCTTCTGCTCCTGTCAGTCACTGTCTCCATAGTGAAGTGGAGATCTCCTCCAGGGACAGAGCCCCTGCGAGGACTGGGCTTGGAGGCTTGTTGGGTGACCCTGGGCCCATCACTTCCTACCTAATATACCTCCCAGGACTTTTGTGGTGAGGAGATGAGGAGAGAACTCTGTGATTAGCTGCTTTGGTTCCCCACTGGTTCCCCACTGCTTTGGTTCCCCATCACTTCCTACCTAATATACCTCACAGGACTTTTGTTGTGAGGAGATGAGGAGAGAACTTCCTACCTAATATACCTCACAGGACTTTTGTTGTGAGGAGATGAGGAGAGAACTTCCTACCTAATATACCTCACTGGAGAGAGAAGCGGGGAGAGCCAGTCTGGCACAATGGTTAAAGTGTCAGACTTAGATCAGGGAGTTCGGACACTCCCTTCTCATGACCACCTTGTCACGACCCTCCCTTGTCATGGCCAAGCACTACAAGGAAAGGCTGAGGGACTTTGGAACGTTCAGTCTAAAGAAGAGGAGGTTGAGGGGGGACATGATCAGTGTTGCCTCTAAGCCGAGTTAGTGTGAGCTAGCTCAGAGTTTTTTAGCCTCCGGCTCACACATTTTTTGTCTTAGCTCAGGAAAGAGGGCTCCAGAGCAGACTAATTTATGCCGTAGCCAAACTGCTCGCTCACTAATGCCAGTAACTCACCAAGTAGAATTTTTGCTCACAAGACTCCACAGCTTAGAGGGAGCCTTTGACAAGACTGCTCTCTTGAAGTATTTGGAGGGGCTGTCACTTCGAGGAGGGCGGAAAGCTGTTCCTATCGGCAGCAGAGGAGAGGACTCGGAAGAAGGGGTTTAAATTGAGGGCGGGAAGGTACCGGCTGGATACCAGGGAAAAAACTTTTTTACAGTCAGAGTTGTGCCACCTTGGAATCAGCTGCCTAGGGGGGTGGCGAGCTTTCCCTCATGGGCAGCGGCTTTAAGCAGCAGCTGGACAAACAATGATCAGGGATGCTCTAGGCCAGTGGTGGCAAACCTATGGAATGGGTGCCAGAGGTGGCACTCAGAGCCCTCTCTGTGGGCACGCATGCCATCGCCCTAGCCAGGCCCAGACCATCATTAAAGTGTCGAATTCTCTGTCAAATAATTTTAAGTAAATGAAAGCATTTGGGATTGCTTTCCTTACTTTGTTTGGATCATCTTACGTTAATGTATGAGTTGTTTTTTCCTAAACGAAAACCTCAGTATTCAGATTAAATAGCTGTGTTGGCACTTTGCAATAAATAAGTGGGTTTTGGGTCGCAGTTTGGGCACTCAGTCTCTAAAAGGTTCGCCATCACTGCTCTAGGCTTGATCCTGCACTGAGCCTGTATGGCCCCTTCCAACTCAGTTCTTCTCTTTAGATTAGGCTTCTTTTCTCTTCTTTTGACTGCAACCTGAATGTGAACTGGATCAACTTTTTAAAAATGTAAGTTTACTTCTTCTTCTTCTTCTTCTTCTTCTTTTGTAAGATACATCTTGGGAGATTTATTTACTGCACTCAGTATCACGCTTCTGTGACTGGGCAGAACACTGCGATGTGAACCAAACATCCCCATCATGTGATCTTGGGTCGTTTGCCCAGCCTCAGCTTAACCTACCTCATAAGGTTGTTGTGAAGGTAGCATAGAGGAGAGGAGAGGAGAGGTGAGGAGAGGCGAGGTGAGGAGAGGAGAACTACGTAACCTGCTTTGGGTCCTGATTGGGAAGAAAGGAGAGGTAGAAAATGAAGCAATCATTTCATAGATAAGAAATGAAACAAAATTTTAAAAATAACAAGAAAGGTGTTGCAAGCCCGTGCAAAGAATGGAACGGTGGGAATCCCAACGTTTCTAGCCAATTAAACGACAGACCTGCCACGAAGCTGGCCGACACGGCAAGAACCTTTATGGAAATGGAGCCAATGTGGGTGCGGAAAAACGAGGTACAAAGGCCAAAGCATGAAATGGCACCAGCAACCATCCCCATGAACAGGAAGGCTCGGGTGGCATGGAAATAACCTGCAACAAGAAGGAAAGGGAAGGGGGTAGGAGGGTTAAATGGGCATTAATGAAACACAGCAAGAAAGCAAACTTGATATGAATGTGTGTATGATTAAATCCACATTCTTGTGTTGTTGGTGTGTGTATAGTTTTTTAGTTATGTGCCGGATACTGCAAGTGCAATAGCACGGTGCAATATGAACAAGAATCTAGATGTAAAGACAGTGGCAGCACTATTGCTTTTTGTAGTGTTTTATAGTCAAGGAATAATAGGGATTGGGAGGGACCATGGCTCAGTGGTAGAGCACCTGCTTGGCAAGCAGAAGGTCCTAGGTTCAATCCCCGGCATCTCCAGCTAAAAAGGGGCCAGGCAGTAGGTGATGTAAAAGACCTCAGCCTGAGACCCAGGAGAGCCACTGTCAGTCTGAATTGACAATACTAACTTTGATGGACCGAGGGTATAATTCAGTATAAGGCATCTTCATGTGTTCATGTGAATCAGTGCGGAAGTCTGCTATCATCCCCACACACACATTTAATCCCAACAACAGAATGACTGATCGACACTTAAGTGTACCATGTCTGTAGTTATCCTGCTCCATGAAAGGGGAAGATCTTACTTTACATGTTACCTTACCTGCAACACGCATCCCATATGATATACAAGTGTTACCAGCACACCCTCGCCACAATCCTACATGACTGCTTCCGTCTGGATCCACTGCCCAGTAGTCTGAAGCCAGGGCAACGATGAGTAGCAAAAGGCTTACGAAGGAGAAGAAGCAGGCGACGATCCGCAGGCCTTCCATGGTGGAGGATGGTCAGGTGTGTGGTGGGACGGCACAATGGGGATGAACCTGTGGGGGGGGGGAACCACGGAGGCTGTGGAATACATATAGCAGCGCATTTAGATAGGCACACAGCAGTGACTACGTCATGGAAGACCTCTACAGTGCTCCATGTGTGCGGAGAGTTTCGTAAGGCTCAGGAGACATAAGGTGATGTTATTGTCACTGTGGGAAAATGAAGCACAAAGACCCAAAAATGAGAAATATAGTGGGTTCAGACACGTTCAAGTGATCAGCTCATAATTTATTAGTGATTCAGGGAGAGAAAGAAGACTGAGAAACCCCTGGCCGAAACTGGGTATTTATGCCTGGAAAAGGTTACACCCAAAACACACCCCACTCCCAACTACATTGTTTCCCAGTTGGGTTACTCTGGGATCCCTCTCACCCTACTGGTCCATTCCAGATCCCAGCAAGCTATTGTTATGCATCCCCAAGCTAAATCCTTTTGCAAGTACGGTTCAGACTCAATACATAAGAGAATGAAACAGTGCCGACAACCATCCCCTTTAACAGGAAGGCTCGGGTGACGTGGATATAAGCTGCAACAAGAGAGGAAGGGGCTGGGCTGGAGGCTTAAATGTGTAGGTATGTCATTTCTGCACTTGCAGGGAATTGAGATGATCCTTCCTTCCTTGCCCCCTGGAATGCAGAAGAGGGTTGCCAGCACAGGATGAGGAAATTCACAGAGATCTGGAGAAGGCAGAGTTTGTGGAGGGGAAAGAGTCCGGGTAGCATTTCTCCCAGCCTTTATGGTATAACATAGCTTCAGAGGACAGACTCTGTGATTTGGAAGAAACTCTGTTTTCTGCCCTTGCGTAGGTGGAATTCCTCAGGCACACACACACAAAAATGGCGCTCAGAGCTGGTGGCGGAAGAATCTGCCCTTTGTGTTGCAGACTGGGGGGGGGGTATTCCTCAAATGCACCCACTGGTTCGACAGGCTCTTGCTAGAATCCGTTAAGTGGGTCCGAGTACTTGGGATCTCTACCAAAGGCTTTCTTTAAAGCATTCCCTGTTGCTCTGTGCTGACACCGCGATATAATTATTGCAGGTTAACTACGAAACCTCTTACTTTGCAGCCGAGCGTGCCTTTTAGCCCTTCTGTGAATCTGCCTTCCTCCTTCCCCAGAATCAAATATGAAAGGGTGCCTCTAATGATTGCCCTTCCTTCCTACCAAACTTCCCAAGTGCATGAAAGGGCCAGACTCCCCCATCTCCTCCCTCTCGCTTCTGTGAAAGAATTATTTGGAATATTAACGCCAGATACAGCAGCTCAGCTGCTGGCACATCACAATGCCTGTGCAGAAGTCTGATATGAAGAGAGATTGGCTTACCTTAACCAAAGGCTGCTTGAAGAGACTGGAGGATCCCAGGGCGTTCCCTGGCTCTCAGAATCTCTCTCCCCCCTCTTGTCTGTGTTACCTGAGAAGAGGCTGAAGTTTCACGGGGAAACGAAAAAGAAAGTGAATTTGTTTTCATGGGAAAGGCTGAAGTCTCCCGAGAAATGAAAGAGAAAAATGATATCACCTGGAAGCGAACATTTCGTGAGTGAACAGAGGGGAGACCCTATATCAGGTACTAAATATTTAGAGCTCCCTGATCCAACACAGCACGTTGAGACCTGGAAACAAATGGTGGAGCCAGTGTAGATCTTCGTTAGTGCCTTGTTTTGTACTGAAACATTGGCCTCACTGTTGAGGACCACTTTGAATTAGGGGTGTGCATTCGGGACCGGGTGTATCCGATCAGGAAAAGAAAAATCCCCCGAAATACATTACCAGTAATTTTCAAGTGTTTTTAAAGCCAAAATAAGTAAAAACTAGCAACATAAGAGCAAAGAGCCATATTGTTCTAGAATTCAAGCTCTGCCCCCCCCCCCCCCCCATCCCCCCCCACAGAGAGAGGTGGCGC